CCGGACCGGGACCGGCAACGGGATCGCAACCCTCGGTGTTGCGCCCGCACCTTGCTCAGCTCCCAAGCGGCGCACTGTAGCAGTGCGCCACCGGGCCGTCCCCATTGAGCAGTCATTCTTAAAACTGGGATTCTAGATGGGCTTCTAGAAATGCTGCGGAGTCGTATGGAAAATTTTCTGCGTATGTATGTTTTTCTATAAGAAAGCTTATGGGAGAGTCTCAAAGAAGTGGGCATGAGACTGTTATAACCCCAAAAGGCTAAGAACCATTGCTTTACATGGAAAAATAAAAGAATGCAGATAATGATTGTACTAAATTTTTTTTATGCCTTCAGTGAACTTTATGTGGATGAAGATTTGAGGTTTTCAGTTGTCAAGCTAGAAATGATGCTTTCCTCTCTTTCCCCTGTAGTGTGTTTATCTTCACTGTCTTCTGGAACTTTTGTGCTAAAAGTGAAGGAGCTCCTCCGACCAGGTCACTTCATTCTGTGGGTTGGTAGAGAGCTGGTCAAGGCTCCTGTCGTTGCTCCACAGTTGATGATAGGAATCGGCTCACATCTTAGTTTCCATTTTTCTCATGGCTCTGTTCATTTGATTCTGACTGAACATTTTTCCAGTAAATGATGATTCTGTGCCCTGAAGAGAATGACTAGTACTTAGAAGGAAAATGTCTTGTTGTCTCTCCCTGACAGCCCAGTAGAAGGTAGAAGGGATGTGTTTCTTGCAGAGATGACTGATTTCTGGTTGGCCAAAGCTGAGTGAGAGTCGGTAGACTTCTTAAAATCTTTTTCATCATGAGCTACTGTTACTGGTTAATATTGTTCTTAATTATTCTGTGATGGACTAGTTGACAGAGGTCTGTGATAGTTTGTTTTACAATTTTATAGTGAAAATCTAAACTGAAAAGAGTTTGTAAATAGTTTTCTTCATACTTTAAAGTGATTGCTAATAATCTCATTTCTGGGAAAGCGTTTTGCTGCAAACATTCTAGAGAATTATTAGGGCTCTGCTATAAATCTTATATTCTTCCTTCAAGGCTCAAACTTCAAATTATGTATTTGTTTCAAGAAACTCAGATGTCCTGTAAATTAAGGATCTCCACAAGTAAGTGAAATCAAATGCCAGAAGAATCAGTTCTGATCTCCATTATCTGAAACCACACTCCTTTACTCTGAAGAATCTATATCTTTCTGAAGTGGTCTTTATTTATATTGGAGTTGCTCGTAATGTGCTTGGGGCGTTTGCCCCGGAGCTGCCTTAGTGGCACAGCCACATGGTAATTTGGCTCTCTTTGGGGTAGTAAGTTGAGTGACAGTCATCTGTCTTATACAGAATGCTTCTGTGAAACAGACATGGGGCACGTGAAGCCCTAATATAACTTCTAGAAGTATATTGGGTAAAACCGAAATGTCATAAATTTGTACATTAGATAGTGTTAAGTTTATACAATTTCTGTAGTCTGTCCTCTGGCTGCTTTTCCCCTTGCTTCTTGGGGTGAATGAATCTATCATTTTACAAATTCCATCTTCCCTGTCTCCTCCTCTAAAATGTGATTGAATAACAATTGCAAGATTGTTTTAGGGCAAACTACTTTTAGTAAAGGTCTTGCTTCTTGGGGTGAATGAATCTATCATTTTACAAATTCCATCTTCCCTGTCTCCTCCTCCAAAATGTGATTGAATAACAATTGCAAGATTGTTTTAGGGCAAACTACTTTTAGTAAAGGTTTGTGAAGAAGTGGATATATGTATTTGTTATCCTGAAAGATCAAGATTACTCTAGGGAATGGGGAAAGAAACAGCTATAGATGCAGCGCAGCAAGCAGGCCGCTTTGCAGTATGGTGAGGAAGTGTGTAGTGGGCGTGGCCTAGCTGAGTAGTGCTATTGCTCAATAACTTCCATGGAGCCATCAGAGAGCTAGCATAGTGTACCTGAGTATTTTAATGCCTGCAAAAAAGGAAGAATCTTGGGAAAAGTATCATAGTTTTTCTTGATTTAAATGGGTTCCTCTTATAGTGTTACTAATGTGATTTATATCCAATTTGGTCTTGGATATAAAGTGGTAGTTATCATCCTCAGAAGTGTTATTCTTAAATGCAAATTCTATTGGCAAGATGTTAAAAAACAGACAAAAATTAGAAATATCCTCTAATTAGAGTTATTGTTTGGAAATATAGGTGATTTTTCAGCAGGCATGCCATTACAAACTACATTATATCTTTGACATGTGACACTGTTCACTCATTTCTGTAATTGAGATTTACTGCCTAAATGTAACTGTAATTGTAGAAATGTTATCAGATGAAGAATGTAGAATCCCAAGCTCTGGCTGCTTTATTTTGGACAGATGGTGTATACCTGAGAATTGTGTGTATGTCAAAAACATGTATTCAAAAGAGTCTCTCTTGAGAATGGTGGAATCTTTAAGTGAAAAAGCAATTTTTGTTTTAAGCAGTTACTAATCTTAGTTCATCTAAGCAGTTACTGATTTCAATCAGTTTTGTAAGTTTTGATTTTACTGTATTGACATTTCTTCTGTTTGGCTATAGGTTGGGGGATATTTTTGAGTTCAGACATTTTTAGTCTTCTTGCTGGACTCAGCCTAATATAGCATTTTTTTTTTTCCATTCTAAGATTGGGTGGTTACTTCTTTTAGATTTGTGGTTTTGATTCAAACACACT